ACGTGGGGAAAGCTTGCCCTCTGGTGGTGACAGTGGAGAAACGTGCACAGAATGGCAGGATGCGGGAAGAACTAACTCAGGCTTCATATGTGCAAAGTGTGCGGTTTATTACGTAGCTATCGGCCAGACCCCCAAACAATTCTCTTTGGAGGACATTAAGGCATGTATCTAAGAGCAGAGAAAAAATTGTAATTAATATTCATTAAAGTAATTCAATTACTTAAATAAGTTAAATTTAGCATTTGTGAATTTAGCAAATGTTAATCACTTTAGAAATACTTTTTTTCTTTTGGGGTCATACCCAGCGATTCTCAGGGGTCATTCTGGCTCTGCACTCAAGAATTACTCATGAAAGTGCTTGTGGGACGCCAGGGATTGAACCTGTGTCAGCTGCGTGCAGGCGAATGCCCGACCCACTGTACAACTGTTCTAGCCCACAGTAGGGATATTTTGAATATCCAATTAAAAAACTTAACTCCTTAAACATTTGCAAATGCATTTGTACTTTTTTGGGGGTGGGGCACACTCCTAACTCTGTGCTCTGGGATCACTCCTGGCAGGGCTCAGGGGACCATATGGGATGCCGAGAATCAAACTCAGGTTGGCCATGTGCAAGGCAAGTGCCCTTCCCACTCTACTATCTCTCTAGGCCCTTTCCCCCAATACTTTTTAAATTACTCAGCTTTCTGAGATGTTTTCACCCCACCTTTGAATACTGGTCAGGATGCTGGGAGATTTGACAGCTGATACCTGGACTATAACATTTGTTCAATATTTTTTCTTTTCTAATGGTTTCATTCTCTGAAGTTTCTGCTGACCTCTTTTTACCTACAAAAATGTAAATGTCTGCCAACACACTGTTCCCTTTGTAGCTAACAGCTTTTATTCCTGAAGTCAGCGAACTTTTTCTGTAAAGAGCCAACTAGCAAATATTCTAAGCATTAGGGACCTTTGCTAGCAACTATTCAATTTTGCCATAGCCACATGATGTAGCCACAGCCACTGGAGAAATGAAAGCAGCTATAAACACTATTTGTAGTCATAAAACATTGAATTTCATGTAATTTGCATGTGCCACAAAATCTGTCATGATGATTTTTTCTTTTCTTTTTTTTTTTTTTTTTTGGTCCACACACACAGTGGTGCATAGGTGTTACTCCTGGTTCTGCACTCAGGAGTAACTCCTGGCAGACTCGGGGCCCATACGGGATGCCAGGGATCAAACATGGGTTGACAGCATGCAAGGCAAGCATGGCAAGCTGTGCTCTCTTGCTTTGGCCCCTATAAGTCATGGTTTTATAAGCCATTTAGCAAAGTGAAAGCGTTCTTACACTATGAACTGAACAAACATAGGCAGTGAGCCAATGTTTGATGCAGAAGAGGGCTGTAGTTTGCTGACCCTTGCTCTAACAAGGATTTCACAATAGAAGCAGCTTGCCAATTCTTGTTTCACTTTTTCGGTTTTGTGTTTGGGCTACACCCAGCGGTGCTCAGGGGTTACTCCTGGCTCTGTGTTCAAGGATTACTCCTGGTGAGCTCAGGGAACCATATGGGATGCTGGGGACCAAATCTGGGTAAGTTGTGAGCAAGGCAAACACTCTCCCTGCAGTACGACTGCTCTGGCCCCGTTGCTTTACATTTTTTTAAATTTATTTTTTCTTGTATTTAGACACAGCGGGTAGGGCTTTTGCCTTGCCTGCAGCCAACATGGTCGACCTGAGTTCGATTCCTCCACCCCTCGGACAGCCCAGCAAGCTACTGAGAGTATCTCACCCGCACGGCAAAGCCTGGCAAGCTCCCCGTGACATAATCGATATGCCAAACACAGTAACAAGTCTCACAGTTACTGGGCCCGCTTGAGCAAATCGATGAACAACGGGAGGACAATGCCACCGATTTATGTAGCCATCTCAGGCATGCTGGTCCCTCCTCTACTCCCACCAACTCATGTCCCATCCCTCCATGCTAATTCCCAAGAGCCTCCCACCCCCAAGCCTGTCTCCTTGACGGTTAGGAGTTTGATTGATGCCATTTGGGTCCCATGCTTACAGCAGTGTTGGATCTAGTGGCTTAGATCATTTCTATTTTTGAATTTTGGGCTGGTGATACTCAGGGATTACTTCTGGCTCTGCAGTCAGGGATCACTCCTGGTGGGCTCCAGGGACCACGTGGTGCCAGGGATTGACCCCGGGTGGCCATGTGCAAGATAAATCTCTAATGGCTGGACTACGGTCCCAGCCCCTAGTTATTCAGATCTATACAGACACTTCAGCTATGCACCACAGATGAGCTGCAGACCTCTGACCCCCTGCCCCTACATTACTTCCTCTTCCTTTCCTTGCCCCACCCCCCTTTGTTTCTCTCCGAGGGGAAGAGGTGGTAACCGTGGGTGTAACTGGAGGGGTCTTTCTCCAGTTACTCATTTAAAGACAGATTTCCAGTCTGTTTTCTCAAAAGGGGGCGGCAGGCCCTGCAAGTCTGGAAACATGTTCTCGGCCTTTGTTTGCTACTAGCTGATAAGTTCCATAAAATCTATTCAACCACAATTTTGGAGCAGGAGGAGTATGAAGAAGTCCTTAACAGTGTGTAAATTTACCCAATTTAGACAGTACAAACTTTAGGATTGATTAAGACTTTGATGTGAGTAAAGAAACAATTTTCGAATTTCCCCTTGCCTCAATCAAATCAAATCCTTAAGTGGATTGTTTTGTGCCATACCTGCTCAGGAATCTCTCCTGGCGGGACTCAGGGGACCCATATGCTGTGCTGGGGATAAACCTGGGGTCAGTTGCATGCAAGGCAAATGCCTTAGGCTCCTTTTCCTGAGGCTTGAAGTGCATGCTTTTCAGGAGCAAGCACTGTATCATGGGAACTCCGAATGTGGTCAAGTTTTCAGCGATTGGCACCCTTAGTATTTGTTCTCCAGTGAAATGAAAGGATAAACAATTGGGGCAACAACAAAGAATGAACAACTGTTGTTGCTATTACTCTTGGAAATTCCTACTTACAATGTCCTGTCCTGCACTGGCTGCAGTGTACTTCTCAAAGTCTAAAGACATTTCATTTTATATTTTGACAACACGGAACCTAAACATGTGTCCTCCACATGGGCTACAGATACCTTTGTATGGAAACATGAAGAGATTATGTGTAGGTTGCACTTTTCAAGGCGCCCAACTATGGGGCTTCAGGGGTGCCACACAGGAGCCATGGGTCACTCATGAGGCAAAAATTCACCCACCACATCTCTTTCCATTGCCACAGCAGCTAGCTGAGACTGGCCACACTGCACTCGGCCATTCGGCCCTCACCCTCAGCAGGGGTCCTTACTTGGACTTCTCCCTCCAGAGTCTGCTTTGTCACTCCATCATTTTCCAAAAAATACATCTGTGCTTCCTGGCTCATAATCTACTTGTCCTGTCCTGCTATATAATCAATCAATCTATATAAGCTATTTCTCCAGAATCTGGGTTTTCAGTGGGACTATAGTGCCTAAACCCAGAGATTGGAGGTTTAGGCTGCTGGGAGGAGGGAGTCTGCTGCCCGTGTTGGCTTTCTCAGTGAGGGAAGGCTTGTGTGGCGTACTTCACACATACTTCCTGCTGAAATTCATGGGTTCACACCAGTATCTCCTACTCAAACCCAACACCAGAGTGCATTGAGGCTTTCTGCTGAGAAAGCTGACTTCCATTGTCCTTAAGTGCTTGTATTTCTTTGATCCAATCTATCTTCCTACTACGCACTGCTATCCTTCGCCTATGGAGCTGCCACCCCACCCCACTGAGGGAGACTCACCCCCAGCTCCCACCCACAAACAGCCGCCAAGGATCCATAGACATGATGACCTGGTTCTACTGAATGACGCGGCTGAATCGTGAGTAGAGAGAATTGAATTTTGAATTTTGTGGTAAATCCCACCAAGAACAGATCTTCTCATTGATTGTCACTGATGTTTCCCATGTATATAAGGCAGATAGCAACCCCGAAAACCTGATTTTGAGCAACTCTAAGGTCAACAGTTCATTTGACTTCTTTACAGTCAAAGATTTCTATTCAAGTTATTCCCCCCACCCCATAACAGACACCTTTTGTACATCCAGAAAGTCATTAGACCCACAAGACAGTGAGAACAGTTTAAACTATAATTAGGCAATAGGATACCTCAAATTTGAATTAAATGCAGGGATTAAGGTCTCACAATTTAAAAACATTGGCATCAGCCTTGTTTGAGGTCAATGCACAAGATATAAAATGTACTACTTTTTAATAATATTAATATACCATTAAGCCAGAGAGCATTGAAACTTCAGAGGGAAAGGTGTGAAGGGGCCCTTGGGGTGGGAGGTGGTTGGGTTTTGGGGCCACAGCCAGCATTGTTCAGGGGACCAGAAATGATGCAAGGACCATAAATGAGACCTTAATCCCTGCATTTAATTAAACTGGGGTTGGCTGCATGCAAAGCAAGTGCCTTACCCTCTCTAAATTGTCTCTCTGGTCCTTGGGTACTTGGAGTCCTTTCATAAGGATGTGGGTTAAAGTACAGTGTTGGAAGGAGACTGGAAAAGTGAAGGCCTGAGGCTGAAGCAACCTGCATCTGCTTCTTGAAAGTACACTATAGTGAGTGTGCTGATCAGAATGCCAAGAACACAAATCCTAAGGCATCTGTGAAGATCTCAGAATCCAACTGGGTCTCCATGGACTAGGTCCTTAAGGGGCTTTTTAGTGTTACTGTTGTCTGGGTTACACCTGATAGTACTCAGGGCTGACTCCTGGCTCTACACTCAGGTATCACTCTTGTCAGAGCTGAGGGACCACACAGGATGACAGGGTTCAAACCTGGGCCAGGTGCATGCAAAGCAAACTCCCTACCTGCTGTGCTATGGCTCCGGCCCCCGTTTTTGTCAGATACTGCCAACTGATCCAGGAATTGTCCCACCCAGAAAACAGGTTCCAATGAAGTTCTTCTGCTCAATCAAGAATAACCCAAGATTCCAATAAGCTCTTATCATTTTAATTGACTTTAATGATTATTGCTCATCTGCAAGGATTAATATTGCATTCATTAAAAATCATTCAATATAAAATAAACTTGTTCCTCCCAAGTTGCTCTGCACACGCTTCCTCTGATGCCAGATATCTTCCCAGTGTCCTTTGTTCCATGGCTTGACAGAGATGGAGCCCTACCCCATCACTTCTGTGGACACAGTAGTAGACGTGGGAGCAGGAGGCAGGCCAGAGGGCAGCAGGACCAGGGTCCTTCCCTCCGCCAGAGCTGACCCGATAGAGACCACTGCTGGCCAGGTTACCTCACCGACAAGTATATGGTGTTCCGATTGGCTGGTTACATGCCCTGGGAAAAGGGCTTGAACTGTTAGGATTTACAGAGAAGAAAGCATGGTCACATTGGCAAGGGTGGGTGAACTGGAAAGGGGAAAAAAATTTGGCAAGACTGTTGTCCCCTGCAAGGCATCTAACAGGGTGAAGGCTTTCCTTTCGTGGATTTCTGCTTCTAAGGTCTCTCTCTGCTCAGTGGTAAGAGAGAAACAAAAAGTTCTAGTACCTGGCATTAATGCCTGACTCAACGCTGAAGGGTCACAAGTTAGAACAAGTTGAGTGCTTAGATCCTGGGTGATTATGTATTCAGCGCTCATCAGACCATGCGGAAACGCTGGTGAGCAGGGTGCGTGGCACAGGAACACAGCGCGCAGGTGTGAGAGAGCCTCTCTGGCTTCCTCCAGAACAGAGCCAGGCCACAGCCGGGACTGTCTCTATGCACAAACTGCCTTTCAGATCTAGGTTCATAAGCCTTTTTGTGATTTAAAAAAAAAGAAAAAGAAAAAAAAAAGAACCCCCCTCCCCCCAAACCCCAAAACAGTACCACTTCTCTAAGACAAATGTTAACATAGGGACTTAAGTCCCGGAAAAGTTCTATGGAACTAGCGAACCCTCAGCCTGGCCCAATTGTGCCTTCTCTTTCCCATTACATCTATCTTCCTTTAAATATTTTAGGTTTGCAGAAGCATAGCTGATCAGAAATTTGCACTTAAAGGATAAATCCTAAAGATCGAGCTCAGTGCTTTACACCAAATAATGGCTCAAGGAATTTGACTTCAGCAGAAGCTTTATGGGGCAGATCTGACTGAACTTGCTCTTGCGGGCCCAGCTGATGGTTGCTATAAACTATGGGCTAGAAATGAGACTGGATCAGAGTGTGAGCCCAGCATTTTTCTGGACCTTCCTCGCACTCTAAGCTCCAAAGGTTCAAAAGAGAAACTGATCACAATCACCGAGTAGTTCCTCAGTGTCAACAATAAAATCTGTCTTAAAAAGAATTTCTTTTGGGTACAACAGAAATAAATGCTAAGGATCAAAATTCAATCTAGTAAGAGTGGTCTGGTCACAAAACCTGAAAAAATGAAAATGTGTGCTGGAAAGTGTGGAAGGGCTGTACTATGTCCAAGTAGCCCTAATGAATCATAAGAAACACTATTACCCATCTCGGAACCAGACAGATCACCTTCTCACAGGAAACGGGGCTTGGAACATCCAGGGGAAATGAACGCGCACCACCTAATCTGACCTACCTAGAAGGCAGGTCCCATCCCTGCTCCTCCTCCGAAGAGAAGAACGCTGATAGCAGCTAAGAAACGGGCCCTTCTATGGCAAGTGTAGACACTGCAGGTCGTTCCACACAGAAGGTGCCTTTATGTTTCTGCTTAATAAGGTACCCCATTAAGATTGAAATCCGCAGAAATAGGAAAGAATGGATCATCTTTCTGGACTGGGAGAGTGAAATCCTTCTTAAGGACTAGGGTAAGGAACCTTGAACCAGTTCCATCTAAAGAGCCATGAAGCAGGTTCCTGTGTGGTCTGTAGAATTTGGACAGTGAGATGGAAAAAACAAGGATGAAATGATAGGAAAACAAATCAAGAGGAAAGAAAGGAGTAAGAAGAAAATAAAAGTTGTTTTTAAAAATATTTCTTATAGAGTTGCGTGGTTCATGTAGACTGGTCCTCAGTAATATGGTCCATTAGTATCTGTAACGAGAAAGACTGCTTGGTTAGCATCTTCTGCATCAAAGTCTGAAAACAAGAATCCTTAATAGAACAGGCTCTCCAGGCTGCCCCTGGCCCTAGCTTCTGCAGTCCCTGGGGTCATTCTTCCTTGTGGTTCTGTAGGTTTCTGGCAATGCCATCTCTGGTTTTGTCTCCTGTTCCCTGATAAACATTTTAGAACACAACAACCCTATCCAAAGCCAACTGTATCAGAATCTCTATGAAGCTGCAAGTTTAGATAACTCTTTGTCTTCAGATCACACCTGGGAATCACTCGTGGCAGGCTTGATCATATGGGATGCTGGGAATTGAGACGGGATTGGCTGCATGCAAGGCAGAGGACCATCTCTCTGCCCCCAGGTCTCTGACTTTTTTACATCTATCACTTGGCATACAATTTTTCTGCCTATCCTGTTAGCTCGGAGCAGAGTAGTTGTCTTCAAACTCAAGTATTTAAGAAATACCTGATTCAAGATATTTAAAAATGCCATTTAAGATAGCTGGCTAGCCTGGGTGAAGAGTCTTTCGTATGTGGTCTCCTGGATTACCTGTAATAATTGGGTTTGAATGGCCCATTTTTGTTGAGTCCCAGATATTTTGCTTGGTCATCTGTCAATTCTGTCAGGTGGGCATCAAATGATGGCAGGTGCAAGCTGGCAACGTATTCATCTAGGAAGAAGAAAATGGCCAGGGGACAGGCTCAGTTTCAAATGTGCCTCTCAGGGTATAACCCACCACTATTTTCCTTTCAAGCATAGTTAAAAAAGAGGACGGGGTAGACAGAATAACTTTGAAAGAACCCACAACTTGAAATATTTGCTTAATTTAAATTAAAAAAAATTCTTTCAAGTTGCCCTTCTGGCAGGATATTTCTCTGAATATACTGAAAGAATCATGTTGCCAGGGTTACAAAATGGAGGGAATTTGGACCGTGAGCCTCCTCTAGTAACGTTTTTAGCCTCACTTCAGAGGCCATGTGCTATTCTTACCTTCCTATGGAAAATCCTCAAATTAATTCTAATCGAATTATGAATCAAAGTAGACACAAATAAGTGCAAGAGGGTCTTGCCACATTAACACTTACTTAGACCCATGTAGGCCTCAAATCTTACCATGAATCTCTAAAGCAGCCAGCAAAAATTTATTAGTTTTCCACAGATAAGCTTCCTTAGCTTCACTTTTATGAACATGACTACATTTGGGGGAAGGGGCTCAAGCAGTGCTCAGGGGCCCAGGGGCCACTCTTGGTGATGATTTAATGCAAGGGTATAAGGATGAGTGCTGTGAGTGCGCTGCCATGCCAAGGACCACCAGGGCTTCTCACAGAATGCTCCGGGCCATGTGATACCAGGAATCGACATATGCAAGTCTCTGCTCTAGTCCTTGGACTATCACACTTCAGTGCCTGAATGTGGCTTTTTAATAAACTTCTCTGATGTAAGCTCTGGGAGGGTTTGAGAAACAAGTGGTTCCGTTTTAGGAAGACACAGTTTTGGGTCGATTGCTGAGATGTGGGAAGTGGGCCCCACCGTTCAGGAAGGTGAAGTAGAGACTATGTCTCATCAGCAAGGCCTGCCTGTCCTGGAGTGACAAGAGGGTTGTTTGCACATCTACATGTGGGTGAACAAGAAAACTGTTGATTCCTCATCTTGGTCCTGGGCTAAGCTCACTGGTAAGTGGGATGCTCACTTCATATGATTATTAAGAATAAACACATGAACCCACACACTGTGTTAAGCACTTTACTCACTAGCTATAATTCTTGTTAGAATACTGTTTTATATATATATATATATATATAATTTTCCTCGCTTTATTGATAGAGAAACTTAGGCTGAAGTCATGGAGATTAGAACCTACCCTGAGGTTCAACCCTTAGTGCCAGAACAGGAATCTGAAGTGCTTAGCAATGATTGTCGTGATATTCATTTTGATAAAGCTATCAACAGTGGGGACAGAGCAGGGTTCACTGGCTTTCACTCACCCATTTTCTTAGGAAGCAAGTATACATCTTGTTTGTACCGTCCCTCAGGTGCGTTATAGAGTTCTATCAGTGCCAAAGCCTAAGGGGAGGAAAGAAGGTCCAAAGATAAAGACGCTTCTTAGCGTGCTCTATCTGCACACCGGCACCCAGGCCAAGGCCCCTGATACACACCCACACACAGCAAGAGGAGTCTTTGGTGTTTTGTTACTTTTAGGTCCAACTAGGCCGTTATGCTGTTGTTCTTAACTGAAACAGCCACAGCCCACACTGACTGCCTGACACCCGAGGAAGCCAGAGTCCTGACAGCTTGTGTGGCCTCACAAAGAACAGCTTGACAAGCACACAGCAGAGAACTCCCTCCTGCTAGGACCTGGGCCTAGGGCAGCTGCATTAAGCCCCGCGCAGGAGAGCAGGAAGCCAGTCGCATACCTGGGTGGTGGCTGTGATGGACAGAACAAAGGTGGGAACAGTGGAGCAGCTCAGGTTGAGCAGCCGCCCCTGAAAAGCAGACCAGAGGCCAGTGGTGAGCTGTGTTAGCCATTTATCTCAGATCCCAATGTCGCGCAAGCCCTCTCGACGTAGGACGTAAAGGAAGAGCTACAGTTCCACATCTGAACTCAGCATTTTATCTTATTTTCTGCCAAGCCCACTCGGGACTGCCAATCTCAAGAACCAGTCGTGGCTGGAAGAGAACACGTCACTTGGAAGAAAGCAGATCTTTTTTGAGGGGTTCTATTTTTGGGACCTGACCATGTGGGAGGCACACCTCTCCACAAAGACAACTGGACCCAGCATTTCCCCGCTCTTTACCCCACCCTGCCAGGGGCTCTAACCGCTCTGCTTCTATGGCACTACTGGCGCCTGCCCGGCCCGACTGTATACCTCTGCCAGCAGGACGACGCGCTTGCCGTCCGGCCAGATGACATGGTCCACCTGAGAACGGACTCGCTCCCAGGTCAGCTCTGGCGTGCGGAGGCTAGTCTGAAAGAGAACAGAGCTGACTGTGGCCACGAGGGGAGGAAGAGGAGGCAAGCCCAGCAACCAAGGAATCTGCGAGGAGCCTTACAACATCAATTTCCGTGTTGGAGTGGCCCATATTGCACACGATACAACTGTTCTTCATGCGGTCCAAGTGCTCCCGTGTTACTACGTTTTTATTTCCTGAAATAAAAAAGGAGGCTCACTGAGGAAAGAGATGCAGGCACTCACTGGTCTTCGGTCAAATGGGAGCAGGATGGCTTGCAGGCACCAAGGAATATACACCAAGAGAAAAGGAGAGTGTCTGCTCTTCAGACTCTAATGAGAGCTAGGCAGCAGCAAGAGCTATCGAGGAAAGAGTCTTTGTTCCAGGAGATATATTCAAGGTCTGGTTTACTCTAGCTCTGAGACCTCTGGGCACAGGGTGAGGTCTGCCACCCTGCTGTACTCAGGGACTACTCCTGATCTTGCTTGGGGACCATGTGGGCCTGGGACTCCTGTGAACCAGGCCTCAGCATGCAATGCATGAAGATAAACACAGGTCTTACCGACTCTGCAGAAAGTCAGCCAGACTACTTTCAAGAGGTGGCCTCAGAGCGAGATCTGCACACCAGAGCATTGATAATTACCTGTGCAAGTTATTACGACATCCACTTGCCGGATAACTTCATTTAGCTTTACCACCCTGAACCCATCCATGCTGGAAGAAAAGGAAGGAACACACTGAGCAAGCAAGGGGCAGTGGAAAAGTATGACATAAAATAAGACAATTAAAAACTCAGGCTAAGTGACATGCTGTGCTAAACGATATGCACTGGCCTCGTCAGACTCCCCATGATTCCATCTAGGAAGGGAAAATGCCTAGAGGCTCTAGGAGTGCCCTAGGGTTTCAAGGAAAGGAACAGGGCAATCCCTGATTTCCTCCTTGCCAAGATTTCCTCCTTGCCAACTCTGCTTCTGTGAAGCAGAGTTGACACAATGAATCGTGAACGTCCAGAACTGTGAAGTACCCAGCACCCAAAAGCACTCCTGCTCTACTCTTACCAGGCCTGCAGCGCACATATGGGGTCAATCTCTGTGATGTAGACGATGGCTCCGAGGGCTTTGAGAGCAGCACAGCAACCCTTTCCCACCTACAGAGCACAAGAAAGAAGTCAGCTTGCTGGGCCACTTTGGCACAGGATACGGCAGGGAGATGCTGGGAGATAGGAACCCGCCAACCCCATTATCTAATGAGCCCTTGCAGGGATGAGCAGAGCTCAGAATAAGCAGCATTTCATATTTCATAGCAAGGGCAGGGGCTTGAGACAATGAGATCAAGAAAGCGTTAATCATTTGGGAAAAAGTACCAAGAAAAGAGCAACTGTGACCTCTAGTTTCTTGTTCTAGAAAAACTGTAATAACTCTTGTGAGGTATTATAACCTATTACAGTGGCAACCAAGCAACTGACGACTTCTGTGGGTTATTGTTGATGACATAAAATTTCCTGTCACCTATTTTTAGATAACTAATTACATGCCACACCAGCAACTTTCACTACAATGCTAATATTTGTGGGGCTAATATGCTAGAAATATATTCCCTTGAGTTAAGACATCAAAAGTGACTACTAAGTGTAGGGGAAAATGACGATTGCATTGCATTCCACAAGACAAAGTAGTAAAATCTGAAAGGTCAACCCACTCTATCCCCTAAAGTTATGAATTCAAATAAAAATCCTGCTATTATTTTGAGATGTAGTATATAAGTATATTATCTATTATTTAAAAGCCGGCAACAGTAACTCCACTGTCAGCACAAGTTCCCTTCATACAACACTTCCAGTAAGTCCATGGAACGACAGACACCGAACTATTTACCTCACCATAGCCACACACCACCACTTGTTTCCCACCAAACATCACATCTGTGGTCCTCTTCAAGCTGTGGAAACAGACAAGGGCTCAACTCAAACATTATGAGCTCAAGACAGTTCCTCTGCCCCAAATCACAGATGTGGGGTACCACCTCACAAGAACTTCGGCTGAAGTTGGGTGGACTCGATACTTGACCTTTTTCACAAACTAAAAGCCAAAGACCAGGCAACAAGACTGCAGTGCCAGCCCTCTGACCTGAACCCAACCCAACTGAAGCCGCGAGAGTTTCGAGTTTGCATAATACCTCTATCTTGTAACCTACCCATCCAAAATGGATTCTCGGCAGCAATATAGGTTATCAAACTTCTGTTTGGTAACAGAATCATTGACGTTCATGGCTGGAACACAGAGCTTCCCTGCTTTGGAGAGCTGATAGAGCCTAAGTGGAAAAGTCAGAAAACAAAAAACAAAAACAAAAGCAAAGTTAGCTGGTGAAACATAATTAAAAAAAAAAATCTACCTAATTCTCTTCCAGTGACATGCTGCCCCCAATCTTAGTCGCTGCTCAAGGCTGCGAGTAAACAGGAGTGTTTTGCTTCCTGGTCATCTCTCCTCACTTTCCGTTTCTACCCTTCCTCCCGCTAGACTTTATTCTTAGCAAAAGGAAAAAAACCAAACTTTCGACTGAAGAAAGTTTACTTTTCTTCCAGGAAGGGGTGCAGTTCCTTAGACCAGCATTTTCTTGACCTTTAAAAACCCATGTTTACTTTTGACAAAGACTCCTAAGGATTCTGACACGGTTCCCTATGAGCGTGCGTGTCTGTAGCTGTGAGCACCCGCAATACGCTTCCAACTGTGAAGCCCTTCTCAGGTATCTTTTAGGTAGCTTGACAAGTCAAGAATATTTTGCTAATTTTTATTTTTGCAGTGTATAATGTATATTTCTGAATAGAATTTATTCGTCTTTTAATCATAAAATTAAACTACAATATTGAATACAGTTCATTCCTATTTCCCCAACTCCCACTCCACGAAGTTGAAAATCACTCAGTGGAATAAATGGGAGAGAAAAAATGTGTAAAACAGAATTTGAAGTAATTTCCTTTTAGGGTCTCCTTGATTTTTCAAAAGCTGTAACTCCAACGTTTTACTCAATGAATACACTCCCAGTACTACAATCTGAACAACAGCCCTACAACCTAACAAAGACCAGCAGACTCTGCTGAGGCAAGGACACAAGGGCAGCTACTCCAGAATCTGTTACCTGTGAACACCAGTCACGCTCTCTTCCACAATGCCTCGGATCTTCTTAAACACGTTTGGGTACTTCTTATAAACCCAGTGGGTTAAGTCTCCCCCATCATCCAGGATCTACAGAACAGCCAGAAGACTTCTATGGGCATTCAGGCTGCTAGAGCTGGGGGGAACTTTGAACCCACTTTTGTACTAGCAGGAGAGCCCTGTACGTTTTGGAAGAGCAATTCCTAGAGCTCTGTGGTGCAGGTTTAGACAGTGGAAACAAATTTGTTGGTGTAAAGTGGCTAAAAGGACTCCTAAATTTGATCTGGGCTATAGTGAAGAGTTTTAGGCTACCCACAGACTCATTTTAGTCTAGAGTATTAAGATATACAGCCCCTTTGAACGCAAAAGGAGAGCGGGGGCAGGAAGGAAAACAACCAGAACCCTATTCCAAAGAGGTACCACATAATTGTGTTCTACTTCATTCTACCACACTGTGTTCTGTTAGTCTTACCCTTCCCCCACCTTGTGATTCAGCACTCAGACCCATTCTGCATAGGTATCAAGATAAACACTTTAGCACCAAGTCAGTGCATAAGACCAAACGTCCAAACATATATAGGGAATTATGCTTTTAGGGAAAAAAGGAAACAAATCTACTGTTGAAAGTTTGGGCTGGATATGAATTATTACCATGTTGGCTTGCCACCCATCCATGTTCACACAGCGGTCAATACACCACCAGAAGTCATCTTCCGACTCGCCCTTCCAAGCAAACACTGCAACTCCTGTAGAAACAGAAACAAATTGGCTGACTTCTACTGAGAGTCTGTCCTAGTACCGACACCGGATTCTGAAACTCACGTGTGGGGGAAAAAAAGGACACAGAAATTTTATTTGGAGAAACATAAAATAGCACTTTTAGTTCAAAAGTTGAAAATCTAAGGGATTTTAATTTTGAAAGTATTCTGCAACTTTAGTATCATTATTTGAAAAATTTAGTTATTATTATAAAGTTACTAAATTATTTACGACTGGGTTTCAGATATACCATGTTTCAACAAGGATCCCTTCACCAGTGTCCACTTCCCTGTACCAAACCTCTCCTTCCTAACCTTCTCCTGCAATTCTGGAACTTATTCTTTCCAAGCACAAATGCTACCACCTTCTACTTGGAACTCAATCCTATAGAGATAAATGAAGTGGAAATCAAAACAAGACTGTTCACTGGGACATTATTTCTTTAGTGATCATCTCAAAACAACCTAAATGTTCAATATTCAGAAAATGGTGATGTCAAATCACAAGGTCATATTACTATTACAAATGACGCTGTCAGTTTTCAGTGGCATGGACATCTATTTCTGAAATGTTTGATATTTAAGTTGAAAACTACATACATACTGAGTAAATGAAAAAAGGAAAGCTGTCTGCTTTTATCTAGGTACAGAGAGATTTCTTAAAAAATCATCTACATTTCCCGCAGTAAACATCAGAAAAAAAGTACATTAGAAAAAAAAAGTATTACAAAGTTGTTCTCTGATGATCCTAGAAAGATGGGAAACCTTAAAGAAAAATCATGGAGACTTTACTCTAAACCTTTTAACTATTAGAATAATTTCAGGGTGATTAGGTCAGGGAGTGCCCACACATAACCTCAGGGGTTAAGGACAGTGAAGCAGTCCTGAAGCCAAGGGCACACAAGGGGGTCTCTGAAGCACAGGGAAGTGGATGCCCCAGATGCCTCCACTCTCCGCTGCTGGTCTGAACTGAAAGGGCCACTACCCACAAATAAAACTCGGAGAGTATGGTCACCGTTCCCCCACAAATGATTTCATAATGAGTTGAACTCATGAGCTAGTCATATGTATCACTGGGGGTGGAGGAGGTGGGGGCATACCTGGCAGTGTTTGGGCTTCCTCCTGGCTATGCTTTATATATTTTCAGCACAATGCTGTACACCAAATTATCACATATATGAACATCAATAGAAAAAGGTACTGTATTTGTTCTATCAAGAATGATGAAACTTTCAATAAAAGGAGAGAGACTAAGTTCAGTTATACTACTTATACAGATATTCTTCATTTAACATCAATCCTGGGCATTTCCCCATGTAACAAGATTCTTCTCAGAAATAATTTTTAAGGAAAATGTAAAAATAGTTATGAATATGAGCCTTAATTTTATTATAAACTTTCTTCCTGCTGATGTTTTTATTAACATCCCAATTTTAGAGACCACAGGCATATACAACACTATAATGATAACTGATACGTGAAAATTATGTTTAGGTAATAATTTTGAGGCTAAGTTGGTGAGAGAGCTAAACTTACCGGCCTCAGCCAGAGCGGCAGCTACTTCATTCTGAGTGGAGTAGATGTTGCAAGCAGACCAGCGGCACTGAGCCCCCAGTGCACACAGAGTCTCAATCAACACCTACGAGTATGGATAGAAAACAGGGTGAGGAGGAGCAGGGCTCCACAGATGTGGCAAAGAGGCAAATACCCACCAATTCTGAGGCAGCAGGTGCCAGACTAGGAAGTCAGTCACAAAAGTATGATCCTCATGAAGACCAATGTGTTAACCTGGCTTTATTCAAAAGATAGATACCTTTCCAAGTCTTAACATTTTTACAAAACAATCATTTTGCAAATCTACATCTCCCTAAGTCAGAGTTGGTAAAAGCTATTAAACCCATACAAAGGAAAAACCCCATTATTGTTTAACAACCAATACCTGATTACCTAATAGCATGTGGAAGTTGGGAAGGATGGGGCAAGCAAGGCGAGTTTCTTTTGTCCCCCTCAGCAAAAGCCCCTCTTTCCTCTCCCCACAGACTCACCGCAGTCTGGGCTGTGATGTGTGTGCAGCCCACTATTTTAGCACCAGCCAAGGGCTTCTCCCCTTGAGCACGTTTCCTGAGTGAAATCAGAGCAGACATGTCTGTGAAAGAACAGAGGATTTGAGCTAGGTCTGAACTAGCAGCATCACTGAGTCTGGTCTGGGGCTGCTGACATGGTGAAATACGGTGCTAAGTCCTTGGAGAAAAACTACACAGATTTCGGTGATTATAGGCAGCTTCAACAACACAACAATCGAAGGACATTATTCAGTCACTTGGGTTCTCTCTTCCTCTTTTAATTCACACCTTGTATAGAGGATAGAACAATTCTCAAAACTGGTCAAAACGGCGGATAAGTCTATGCTTCATCTGCGAGGGTAGGGATGAAGCTGGCTGACAGATTCCTACTTACAATCATCAGCCCAGGAAGATAAGATTGCCCTGTTTTTCTCTGCTGTTTCACTTTACTCTGTCAATCTGTCTGGCTTCTCTATTTCTCCCTGTACAGAAGAGGTCTTCGTTATGAAACTACAGAAACAGTTAAAAGACCTTGCAGGGAACGGAGTGGGGGGAACTTAACCACTTTCACCCTTGCTCCAACAGAGGATGCCAAGACACCCAGCCCAGGTAAGTTCCTAAGCCACACCTCCTTAGCACCAAAACTTCCTACACTGAGTGCCTCTGGGAAATCTGGGTCTCTGGATCGACAGCTATGGGAGATCCCGCAGAACCGACCGCCTCTCCAAGGCTTGCTGACTCTGCAAGCAGCTCTGTGGAAACGGTGGGGGAGGCCAAAAGAACCTGCTCTATGTAATTACCACACGCTGAATACAGGAAGCGGTGAGAAAAGAATCCTGAGGCTCAAGCTCCAAACAGAGAAATCTGTTTATTTTAAAGTCCAGGATACCAGATATTCCCAGCATACTTTCAAGTCCTAAGTTGTTTGTGAATCCCAATTGCCAGTGTCCAGGTTGCTCTGCCCCTCCCCCACCCACACCCCCTTTACCTTGCTCTGCAATCTCGATCTCCCGGCGTCCAAATTCTGCCTGCTTTATGTTCTTCACACAGAAATTGCTGCTGCCCTTGGAATTAGTTTGCTGTTTCTCTCGGGGGGAAACTTCATCGTCAGAGCTATCTGTGTAGGATGCAGCTAGAGCCAGGAAAGAAGGAGGATAGAAAAACCTCAATGGTCCCAATTCTACAGAGTGCGGTCCCCAAGGGACTCTCATTTAAGAGAACACTCTTAATTGGAACCACCTTTTACGTCATCTCTGTTCTACTCCTCCAGGGTCTAAAAGATGGAACAAAGCTTCTGGATCTTTCAGTGATGCAGCCTTTTTACAAACCACCCTGAAGAGCCATACTTTGCCATTAGTACCTGTGATAATGAGTCCTGCAACGGCTCTAGTGAATCTGAGGCAACGGGTACTTGATCCCAACCTGTATTTGAACCAGGCATGGCAAAGATGGAAGAACAATTTAAGGCAGATAAGAAATGCTATTTACGGGGCTGACCAGCCTTCAATCCCCAACACTGCATATGGTCCAAATTCCACCAGGAGCACAGAGTCAGGAATAAGCCCTGATCACAGCAAGGTGTGGCCCACAAACAAAACCAAAACAAAATCTCCTAAGAAATGCTGTGCTCAGCACTGGCTCTCACTTTAAGCATCATACTCAAAGTAATATCTAGAGCAGAGCAGTGTTTCCCCTAAGAATGACGCTGACCCCTGGGGGGCGGGGTGAGGGTAGCAGCTATGGCAACAGTTAGGGGACATATTTGCTAAAAGAAGGTAGATCCGGTGGGGAACCAAGTGACTGATTTTTTTTCTGAAAAGGGGGCAGAAAGCCAAGGAAGTTTGGGAACGTGTGATTTATTAGAATCATATGAAAGGATTGTTGAAACACAGGCGGCTGAATACCACTGCCGGATTTTTTCCATTTTGCAAATCTCAGGTGGGACCCAAGAATTAGAATTTTCAACACACTCTCAAATGTTGCTGATGCAGATGCCGTAAGGATCACCTTTTGAGAATTACTAATAGGAATGGCAGTGGTAAGAAAATCTTGGGATTTTATACTATAGCAACTGAAAAAACTGAGAGACTAGCAGTTGTTTCCAACTGCCAGCCCTGAGCTCACTCAAGATGTTCAACTAAAAACCCCTTCTCGTCAAAGTGGTTTGTCCTTTCAGATAGGTAAGAGAAAACACCCCACTCCTCACCTCCCGCTCACTCTCCACTCGCTCCGATCTGGACACCCCATACAATCCCACAAGCACCACCTGGAGCAATCCCTGAGCATAGCTAGCTGTGGCCCAAAAACCAATACTAAAATCGAAGAACCAGTGTGCTCTACCCACCCACAGCTACTACAAGTCCACCTCCCATGAGGAAATTGAAACCTATCAGTTTAAAAAATTTTATTATTCTTAAAATTTGGGGCTGTAACCTGGAGGTGCTCAGGGTTCCTTCCTGGTTGTGCTGGAAGGTGCCTGGGATGGAACCCTGGTCACCCACGTGCAAGCTAAATACCATACTATTATCTCTCTGCCCACGAGGCTTTTTTTCTTTTTGGATCACACCCGGCAATGCAGGGGTTACTACTGGCTCATGCACTCAGGAATTACTCCTGGCGGTGCTCGGAGGACCATATGGGATGCTGTGCTCGGAGGACCATATGGGATGCTGGGAATCAAACCCGGGTCAGCTGCGTGCAAGGCAAATGCCGTACCCGCCGTGCTATGGCTCCAGCCCCATGCCCACTAAGCTTTTAAAAATTCCAGTAATATAATACCATCAAGATCTCTGAAAGCAGTTTAAGTGGACTGATTCAGTCCATCTTTCTTCCTCTGTAACTCACTTAAAAAATTAATCCTCCTGGGCTATAGCAATAGTACTATGGGTAGGACATTTGCCTTGCAACCACTCTACCCAGGCTTAATCCCAGACATCCCATATGGTCCCCCGAACCCACCAGGAGTGATCCATGGGTGCAGAGTCAGGAGTAAGCCCTGAGCATCTCCAGACATGGCGCCCCATCCAAAAAAATATATATGAAATAAAAACAAAACCAAAATAAAACTAATTTTCCTTATTTCTTGGTTATAATTAGCTTGCTTGTCATGGACAACCTTTTTGAAACTGTCATTTTAAGACAAGTTTTCATTAAGAAAGCATCCTAGGAGCTGGAGGGTCAGGGGACAGTACAGTGGGTAGAGAGTACAGTGGGTAAGACACTTGCCCTGCATGTGATCGATATGGGTCTAATCCCCATATATGGTCCCCTGGGCTCCACTAAGAGGATCCCCCAACGCAGAGTCAAGAGTAAGCCCTGACCACTGCCCGGTGTGGACCCAGAATAAAAGCAAGAAGAAACAAAAAAGAGTCATCATACTTAAAACCTCTTATTGCAATGTATGTGTCCATGGTAAAGATATATATTCATTTATTTCAGTATTTAACTCTGAAACTATTATTTGTTCTTTTTTTTTTCTTTCTTTTCGGGTCACACCTGGCGATGCTCAGGGGTTACTCCTGGCTTTGCACTCAGGAATCACTACTGGCAGTGATCAGGGGGCCATATGGGATGCTGGGAATCGAACCTGGGCCGGCCGCGTGCAAGGCAAATGCCCTACCCGCTGTGCTATCACTCCAGCCCCTATTATTTGTTCTAATCTGTCTGTACCACAGGAAAGAGAAAACATTTAACTTATTTATTTGTACTTTTTTGGTCCATACCTGGCAGTGCTCGGGACACTATGGGATGCCGCATGAACCAAGGCTGGACACATGCAAGGCAAATGCCCTACTCACTGTACTATCTCTTCAGCCCCAGAGAAAGGATCTTAAGAACTTTTGATCAATTTTTAAAAATATTCCTGTAATGCAAAAGCCCATTATTATTAATGCTAATAATAAAAACAATATTCTGGGGAAAGACAATGGTCCTTGGTACAAACTATTTTGCTGACAATAAAATCTCTGGTTTTGGGCAAAGCCTCAATCGTTTAATAGTATTTTCTCAGTTGAACACTGGAGGGGTTGGGTTAGATGCCTCTGGTTTACTCCAGGACTCAAATCCTTAAATTCTAAATTCTTTTCCATGTTTATTTTCTAGTATCTAAAGCTGGGAAGGACATAATCCAGATCAGAAAAGAAAATACACTCCACCCCCCACCCTTTCATTAACAGGGCTAAGGTAAGAAAGAACACACACACACACACACACACACACACACACACACACACACACCACACACAACAACACATACACACCCTCTCCTTAACAAGGCTAAGGTAAGAACACACACACAACAACAACACATACCCCCCCCCAACAAGGCTAAAGTAAGAACACACACACACACACATACACACACACACACACACACACACACACACACACACCCTCCCTCTCCTTCACATGGCTAAGGTGAAGTAAAGGTAAGGAAGAACTAGAAGGCCACAGTTGGGCCAGGGATGGAGCTCAGGGTTGAGCACACAACCTTGCATGTGCAGGGCTCTGGGCTGCTCCCAGGCACAGCAAAAATCAAGTCACTTAATTGGAATCACATTACAGGAGTGTGACTCTTTCACACTCAAGATATTAAGAGGAGAGGGAGACTGCTTACATGAGGATGTTTATTTAATTTTTATCCTATTTTTTATTCTAGTAAATAGATTAAAAAAATACATTTTTTTAAATTGCAAAATTCAGTATAAGGGACAAGAAAGAGAGCTAGGTGGCAGGGTCTATCTTATATAAAAAAATTAGAAATAAAGCTTCCCAAGTATACCTCTTTTCAAGGTCATTTCAGTCAGCCAAAATAGCACTGACTCTGCCTTTGTTAAAGTGAGTGGGTAGTCGTGGGCGCAGGAACCTGCCCTGCTCTTTCACCAACACTAGCTGGCACACACACAGTGCCCAGACCACACAGAGCGTCAGGGGAAGAAAGATGATGAAAGCCTCCTCAGCTACAAGCCTGGCTGGGGGTATTGCCATTGCCCAACCACTAATTACCAGCACTTAGCACCAAGACGGGGAGTTCTGACATGAGGCATTTTCCAATTCTAGATAGGAGGAAAAAACACTAAGCAAGGAGTTAGCTCAGGCTCGGAAACAGGGCAGAGAGACCGGGGAGGACACACCAACCTGAACTGTAGCTGTCGGTGGAGGACTGCGAGATGGAGCGAGACAGAGACCTGCGGCCAGTCTTGGTGGGAAATTTGGTGAACTCCTGCATGTCATCGGCAAACTGGATTTGCTAGATAAGAAGATGGCAAAAAGAGGGAACCGTGTAAGGATTCTATGAAATCTTCTAGTGGTTATAGCCATACACTGGCTTCCCCATCATCATGTGGCTTCTACCAGGCCAGCAACCCTCCCAGCAAAAACAGGGGTAGGCAGAGGCTAGCTCTCCCCAAAATGCCTACTGCTGCCTCCTTACATGAATTCGGCAGACTTTTCTAGCACAGGGGAATAGGAAAAGCTATACTCTGACTTCTTTTAGCATTTATCAAATGTCACAGGTCTTTTCACATTCCAGAAGTATTCTTTCTTCTTGTCACCTTGACACAGTAAATCTTTACTCTCCTTCCATCTTTATCAAAAAACTTCATATCTCACAACGCCTGTTTCTTTCCGCCCTCACCATAGAATATTCTCTTACTCTGAAGTTAGCAATGGTCTTTTTTTTTTTCTAAGAATTATGATAAAGTGCCTCAAAATGGTGACAGGAAGATAAATTTAAGTTCAATCATGTACTACAAAGTCAATGTGATATTCCCAGAACCTTCTCTATCCAATAAAATTATTTGTAATACACTGAAGAAACAGAAATTGAATTAAGTATACACACATGCTAGAATAATTCTAACAATCAGGAGTAATTTGAAGGAAGAAATAAAAACTTGGTCAACTTAGTTTACAATGTTATTTATAGGCAAATTCGTAGATGTATCTCAAGTGTAGACGACACATTCTGGTATCAAATGATTTAAACTTTCCTTCTGAATTCCTGTTTAAACTGATAAACTGTTTTCTTTAAAATAAACGTCAGCCTCCTGAAAACCAGAAATGTTTGAGAATCTGATGATCTCAATCTGAGTAAATCTGAAAATACTCCCATGGAGAATCCATTAAGTGAAGTCTTTGGTAAATGTCTGTGAAAATGTAAACCATTACAGATTAAAATCGTCTCTATAATTCTAGCAACATGGTTGTAGTCACTTTGAAGCCAGGAACAGTAAATTGCCTATTGGTTACAGCTGCAAAACATTCCCCTCTTCTGTCCTATAAACCTTCCAGTTGGGCTAGCATCGGCCAGCAGTGAAAGAATCAGGGTTAAATGTGGAGCCCTCGGGTGAGAGGGCAGTTGGGATAGAGAAGGGGCCAATATGACAATGATGGTTGAAAGGGATCGCTCTGGATGGGAGATGTGTGCTGAAGGTGGGTAAAGGAACAAATATGACAGCCTCTCAGTATATATATTACAAACCATACTGCCCAAAAAGGGGGGGGGGGGAGAGCGAGAGCGAGAGAGAGGGCGCGCCTGTCATAGAGGCAGGCTGGGGAGGTGGGTAGGAATATTGTGGTGAGAAATGTACACTATTGTAGAGATAGTTTGGAACACCGTCTGACTGAAAATCATAAAAGCTTTTTAAGTATTTCATGGTGATCCGATTAAAAAACAAACACAAAAATGTGGAACCCAGGCAGCTAACAGAAACAAATAAGAAATGGAATTAGTAGGATTCTGCAAATAATCAAGGAATACAGATCTATGTTTTCATTGAGATTAAAAGCAGAGAACAGCTGTGCAGTAAAGTATGTTCTAACTTTTATGCAGGCAACAGGCCTCAGAAAAAAACCTTTAGTCTAAGCGTACTGAAAGTCCTTCCATGACTCAATACCCAACTGGAGATGTTTGTTTGTCTTCCCTTTAAACTACCCTGTGAAATACGGAGAAGGCACTAAGCTTAAGAACAGATCCTACTGGCATAGAAGGGCAACAACTATACAGGTCCTGGAAGCTACACCAAGGCCTTGAGCACAGAAAACATTCAATAGTTAGTTGTTAGAATCAGTGGACTTTTCGTGTTTTTTCTGTAAGAGTCAACACAATTAAAAAAAAAAGTAACTATTCAAATTAGGCTACACATAATGCATCAGACCTTGAATAATACTTACCTTGGTACATTAGAAGCAGCCTTTTTAAAGTACCAATGCTTTATTATTGCTGTTGCTATTATCATTTGGCTTTTTGGATCACACCCGGCAATGCTCAGGGGTTACTCCAGCTTTGCACTAAGGAATTACTCCTGGGAGTGCTCGGGGGACCATATGGGATGCTGAGGATTGACCTGGCTCTGCCACATGGAAGGAAAATGCCCTCCCCACTCTACTATCGCTCCAGCCCTGTCATAATTATTTTTAATAGAGGTCACACCCAGAGGGGCATGGGAGGCCATGTTGTGATGGGGCTTGAACTCAGGGCCCCGCATATGCTAGGCATGGGCTCGACCACTTAAGCCATATGCCCAACCTAAAACTTAAAATAGCTTAGGAACTTTTAAACAAGAACAAAACCATGAAGTGGTCACCGGCCAGCATCTGCCTTTCTAGACAGGATTTGACACTACACGCTCATGTCACTTATGCAGTCAGCAAAGCTTGTGTCCCTGCAGAGAAAATGCGGGAGTTTCAACAGTTATTCTGCAGCCAAGAGACCACCCATGCCTTGTCAGTCTCTCCAGAGGCAGCATGGCTCTGGGCAGTGGCAGTCGGGTCTGTTCGGAAGCTGCTCTTCTCACGGCTATGATGATTCCCTTCCTTGTTCATTTTTCCCCAAAAGGCTCTGGGTGTATTTGCAGACACCACCTACCCGGGGATGAGGGAGGAAGCTGCAGTCACACTTGCAGTTTCAATGAAAAATAGAGAAGTGCTGTGGCAAGACACAAATGTGTTTCTTGAGCAACCTCAGAAGTGAATTGTCGTAATCCCACCTTGCATTAATACAGCTCATTGATAGCCAAAAGCTTAGCCAAGCCTTTCCCTTCTAAAAATATTGCAAGTAGCTCACTATGGATGAAATGTCTTTATAATCCCATCTCTCAAATAACGGACTTGAAGCAGGCAGATGGATGGCTGTCTTCCTACACCAGTACACTTGCTGGGAAGTATCTTCCTGCACCTCTTTGATAATCTTGCTGCTCATAAAGATGGTGGTTCTGCTTACAAGAAACAAGAACACCTTGCCTTCCTTCCCATCTAAGGACTGAACTTTCCCCAACGGCCATTGCTGTGGAGGACCCACATGGCCAGTTCCCTCCAGACCTGCAGCTTTAAGACTATCTTCTCCAAAGACAGACATCCTGTCTTCCTCTTGGCTTTGTACCTCCTTGAGTGTGGTGTTCACGGTGACATAAATAAAGGCTCTGCTGCCAAAAGCAATTTTTGGATATCACAAGCTCTCTATCTGGTGAAACCAGATCTCAACAATAGTCTTCAAATTGCAGCAAAAAACCATAGCATTTAAGTGGAATGTATCAGTTCAAAACAATACCCAAAAATGACTGCAAAACTGTTCTGTTTACATTAATTCCCACTATCGTGAAATTTTCCAATCATTAAGTCTACACTGGTGTGCTTTCAGTGTCCTTAAATCCGGATCTAAATATGAAGTGAGATGCAGGGAAGGGGAGTAAAGGAGGAGACAAAGTAGTCCCCCAAATATCTGAAAAATAAGAAGTTGCTAAGGAACCATTTTTTTGTTTGGCTACCCATCTCCCCATATAGATTTACTCAAAACAAGTGCACAAATTTCCATTCTTAAAATAAATATCACAGTGGAGAACGAGTAGATCATACTATTTCTCCAAACTGCACATCTATTTATAGAAAGCAACTTGCTGTGTCTTAAAAACGCAATTAAGCACCAGGCCAATTTCATGTACAAACAATCCTAAAGCATTTCTTCATATAGTTTAATATGTACAACAGCTGACTCCTTCCATGTAAAACAGAATGGAAGAACAAAAGTCGACGAAAATTTGGAGCATGTTCAGTAAGCCTAGTGTCGGAGGGCCGAAAGACTTCTGTATAGAACTGACCCCAAGAAAAAGGAATCACAGGCAATCCAAAACAATGAGAAGCCTCCAGAGAACGACTGTATAATACTCATTGAGCGGACTCCAATCACTGTCACTGTCAAACACTGTCCTCCCGTTGTTCATCGATTTTGCTCGAGCGGGCCAGTAACGTCTCCATTTTGAGACTTCTTGTTACTGTGTTTAGCATATCGAGTATGTCACGGGTAGCTTGCCAGGCTTTGCCATGCGGGAGAGATACTCTCAGTCACTTGCCGGGCTCTCCGAGAGGGGTGGAGGAATCCAACCTGGCTCGGCCGGGCTGGCTGCACACAAGGCAAACGCCCTACCACTGTGCAAATTCCAATCAATTAAAAAAAAAAAAAAGCTGAGCAAAGTTGAGAAATTCTTCCACAAATGGTCAGTCTGAGTGCTCAGATGCTAAATTGCATCACTTCCCCTTCCTCCCCAGGTCTCAGCCAATCATGCTGTCTAACTCCTGAATCCCAAAGACTCAAACTATAACATAATTATACAATGATACTATGGCCAAGGGATGATAAGCAGGATAATAATCATGGAGTATTATAGTATCTGCAGATGTCTTTTGACCCACATTATAATGAAAATGCAAATATCCATATTAGAGTTTGACTGCTTCTTCACAGGCTGTATACCAGTTTCCACAGTTTAAGCTTCTAAAAATCTGAGGGTAGGTCAGACATCTTATTAAACCTGTTTTGCTAGTGGCTAACATCTTTTAGAAAAGACCCTCCAAGGGTGAAGAACTAGATGCAAAGGTAAACAAATTATTAGGAAAACAAATCATTAAGAAGCAGAGCTTGAAAATGAGAAGATTGGGTCTTTTTATGGGGGGAACTAAAGGGAGGAGGCACTCCCAAAAACAAACAGCAGAAATGTCATCTGTACTTAAATATTATTGCAGCACTATTCACAATAGCCAGAATCTAGAAACAGCCCGAGTGCCCAAGTACAGGTAACTGGATAAAGAAACTATGGTACATCTACACAACTGGAATACTATGCATCTGTTAGAATGAAGTAATGAAATTTGCTTCTAAATGGACCGACATGGAGAGTATCATGTTGAGTGAAATGAGTCAGGAGAGGGACAGGTATAGAATGAGTGCATTCATTTGTGGGATATAATATAGTA